TTTTTTTTTTTTTTTTTTTAAATCACAATGTGCGTTAATTAAATTTTGCGCTGTTGAGTAGAAACTTCCGGAAAAATGTCTCTTTTATGAAGGGGCGGGAAAAAAAATAAAAAATCAAAAATGGTAAGCGCGATAAATGCGATTAACGCGGTGATCGTGATAAGCATCATAAGAGTGGCAAGTACACCAAATAGAGAAGTCGGTAAATCAAAAAAAAAAAAAAAAAAAAAAAAAAAAAAAAAAAAAAAATTAATAAACAAAATGGGGTGAAGGCAAAAATTTCGCTATGGCGAACGAACCATGCTGCGGGGACGGCAAAACAAAATTTGTAAAGTTAGTAGACTGTAACACAATTTTGCGTAGTGATCCACTTTATGACGTCATGCAAAAATGGTACCACGAACCGCACCTTCATGGTGCTGGAGCGCACATAAACGTAGCAAAAGGGTAAATATGAAACGGGGGATGGTACGGGGGGAGGAAAGGTTAACACAGGTTATACACAAATGAGATAAAAGCAAAATTTTGCGCGATAGGTGTAATGGGTACTGATATATAACACTTAGTGGGTGGTGAGATGATTGCCTAACTGTTCAGCATTAAAAATGGAAATTACTTTCAATTAAAATAAAAAAAAAAAAATCCTCCCTTATAAGAAGCAATTATACAATTCGATTAAGTTATCCTATGCAGTACGCTTAACAACGTGGGAAGGGAACGGAGTTAATATAAATGTAGTATACCACACATGTATATGCTGATAAAGTATACACCACCGTGTGTTTATTAATGGTGACATATGGGGGTGGGTGGGAACATATAATTACATGAATAAATTTAAAGAAACGGAATTAAAAAAAAAAAGACGGCTAGGTATCCACAAAAAAAAAAAAAATGAAGCAATTTGTTTTTTTTTTTATTCCTCCAAACATGTACAGGAAATTTGCTAAAATCTACGTGTGGTGTGGTTTGCAAGACGACGTTGCAAAAGGATCAATGTAGAGGATAGGAACAGTCTGTTATAAATGAACTGATAATGTACCAATCGAATTGTATGCATGTGAAAGAGGACGCACTTTAACGAGTAAAAAAAAAAAAGACTTAATCTTTTGTACACACAAAAATACAGCTTCGGCTGCTACGTATGTGTAAATATAAATGTATTTGCATGTGGAAAACAAGTCTGGTTAGCTATAAAATGGTCACTAAACCAGCAATTTACAAATTCTTTTTCTTTTCCGAGCAATTATGAGCAAAAATTCAGTCACGGGGAGTGTACACATATGCGATGAACTGCCATACGGAAAAAAAAAAAAAAAAAAAAAAAAAAAAAAAAAAACAGAGCTGTTTTGGTGGAACAAATGAATGCATACCTAGTACATGTATATGTTAATATACACTTGCACGTGCACCGGGAACGGACGAAAGACAGCAGAGTGACACAAGGACTTTACTTAAAAGTACCTATACATGTACAGCACCGCTGGGTGTTGAAAAACAGGTACGAAAAGGCAGACACGGAAGGTATAGGCACACATACATTTGCACACGCTTACCCATTTGTAAGAAATTTAAAAAAAAGTAGGGCAAACTACAAATGGTGAATTCAAAATGTTGATTTTGTGATATTTCGCTAGGAGGTGCGAAAATTTCCTAGCCAGCATATCAGGAATGGCTTAATTCTTTTGGGGGGTGAGTGCTTGGGAGCGGTACTCTGCTTGTGCTAACTACATAATATATTAGTCACACGCTTGGGTATAATATGTACGGGAACGACGCGGAATTACAAGTCGTTTTGCAGTTCTGCAGATCGTACCTATATTGTACATATGTATGCCTACGCGGGAAAAGCGATGGGCGAGTACAAAACAATGCGCGGTTCGTAGGAGAAGTAAAACAAATATTCACATTAAAAAAAAAAAAAAAAAAAATGCCGCCAAACAAAAAACATTTAAAAATTCTCAAGTCAGAAAATATGCGGCATACGAGAGCGAAGCGGATTCAGTGGCAAAAATGGGGAAACGGAAAATGTGCTTTTCACTTTATGAAACACTAAAGGGTCCTGAATCTTAAAAAGATGAAGCTTTAAAACACAATGTATATGGGTATGTGCTGACCTGTTCATACAGTTTACAATGTTACAATTTTTTTTTCAATATTTTAAAAAGATAATTCTTCTATGCTCAGCTCACATTCCACAAATTCCCGTGGAAAAGTAATTTAGCGATGCATGCATGAGCCCTCGCGTGGGGGGGGCAACAAGAACAAGAATCAGTTTGGTAGTCGAAAAGGAAGTGCAAAAGGGAAGCATACCTTGTTTTTTTTTTTTTTTTTTTTTTTGTCCATATTTCCCTTGTTTATTTTTTTTACATTGTTTCTGCCCTGTGCCAGGCAATTCACTGTAAGCATAATGCTTTAACGTGGAAAAGGAGAAAAAAACTGACCAGGGGGCTGCACGGTTACACCTGCGTTGCACATGGCAAGCCTTACTCATTGACACCTTACACCTTTAAGTGATCCACACGACACGACCCTGTACGGAACGAGCCTACAAAGGGCGGAAATTAACGAAATGGTTCACAAAGAGGAAAAAAGAAGTTTTGTACTGTCCATGTGGAAAAGCTGGACAAGCGCAGCATGACAATGCGCAAAGAAAAAAAAAAAAAAAAAAAAGCACTTTTTAACCTGTTCCTTTGTTATGAATAGTGGTGGTGATCATGCGTGCATGTAAGAATATGCTAATCTACCCTCTCACATATTTTTCGTACGCACTGTTAATTTGCCCCGCCTTTTCAAACACACTTATTTGTCGCCCAATTTCTGCGCACAACATGTGGTCATGTGGCCTCGTCGTTAGGGTACGGCTTCCCCCCTCCGCCATTGTACTCCAAAGGAAAGCCACACCAATAGACATGCACCGGAGCATGCACTGGCACATACACATATGTAGGCGTACGCGGTGTGTGTGTCTGTGTATAGGGGCGATGTTCGGCGTATCAACTATGAGAGCACATGTAATGTGCAAAAGGAACAGGAAAAAAGGAGACAACCGTGAAAGTAAACGCAAAATAATCCTTTAGTATATATACCGGGAAATGAAACTGTGGATGGGGAAAATGAACTCTGAACAGGCAAGCACATGTAGCCATCTAGCTTATAAACATAGGGCTACATGTCCCTGCTTGTTCTTTCGCCATGTGGGGTTTTCACACCCCAAAGGGAAGAGAGCGCTTCGCAAATAGGTCGCACACTTTTTTAAAAATTAGTGGAACATTCCACAAGCACTGCAAAGGGTAAACACATTTGCCCCATATTCAAAAGCCAACACGGTGAAAATCAATTATTATGAAAAAGGGTGCTGGTTATGAATAACGCTCAAGCGCTAACATTCACATGTGTATGCTTTTGCCGAATTTTCGAGTGCACTATTTGGGACCCACGAAGGTGTCGCTACCACTTGGTTTATCTCCTCCACAAGAAGAGTAATCAATAACCAGCATAGGGAAAAAAAAAAAAAAAAAAAACATCGAAAAATTAAGGAAAAACAGGAGAGAGAGGGACATACCTTTACACCATTTCCCTTTTGCTTCAAATAATTTTACCCTGTCACTCTCTTTGGAAGTTCACTGTTGGCCGAAATGACCGTGCATGCTAGGAGCCACCATATTTGTGTGTAAAATTAAAAAAAAAAGCCACACAAGCGGGGGTGAGGAAGGTAGGCGCGTGTATATATACATTTATGTATATGTGCGTGTGTGTGAGTATCCCCCTCGCATGAAGAGCTTATGCCTGGAGAAAGATTACTCCAATTCACTGATGGCCGCCACCTCACCAATTTGACCCAACACATGAAAATAGAGCTCTCCTTTTGGGCGGGGGACATAATCGTGTGTAAGCCTCCACTTTTCCTTCCACGCCTTCGCCTCCCCACACTCTTTTTTGTTTTTTTTGTAGCAACGAATGCAAAAAAGAACATGCAAGAGAGGTCCTCCAAAAAAAAAATAAATTGGCACTAAATGGGAAAGATGTATAAATTTCTGGTGGCTTGTTATGTGCTGATGACGGTTTTTTTTGTGCCTAATGAATCGAAAAATATCGAAGGAAAATTAAACGTGTCTCCCGAGCTGAGCGGTATATCTTTTTTTATGAACAGGAGGAGAGCGGCGATAGAGAAGGCAGCGCCGTGTGTAACTGCTATTTGTGCTGCCGACCTCTCCACGCTTACGTGGATATATCCCTTCCTTCCTTTCCACAGAGAACAGATACATCTCCTTGGACAAAAACAACATAAACGACTTCATCAAGGTGAAGGAAAACAATTTTCTGTTCAATGTTACTTGCAAGACGTCTAGCTTTTTTAGCGGCGTGAAGAATTACGTTCTACGTAAGGTGTCTTCCTCTCTGGGTAGGTCTTTCGCGCCAGTTGGAGAATCCGCCCCGGGCATTTGCACGTACGAGCGATCCCCGTACAGCCGCCTCACATGTAACCGCTTCTAGTATAACCGCCCCCCCCCCCCCCCGCAGACCTGCTGGAATCGCTCCGGTCGGATCAGGTGAACCCCGAAAATGTAAAGGCCCTGGAAGGCGTCGTGGAAAGGACGTGGGACCGAGAAAACAAAGAGTTCCTAGAAACGACAAAGAAGTTAATCGAGCAGTACACAAACAACGACTTGTTCATATTGCAAATAGGACTGAACAGTATCGCATCAGCAATCATCGACAAACCACAGGATGTAATTTTTTTAGAGGAAGATGTAGAAGTGTGTAAAAATTATTTTATCCACAAGAATAATAGGTGTCTTTTACTGCTGAATGGAGTGGAGTTTTACTGCAACAAAGATAATGAGGGTAATGAGGAGAAGTACATACACGATACCCTCGATTTAATCACAAAAATTTACCAAAGCAGAAACAACCAAGTGATAGATGTGCTCATTGTAAGTCACAAGTATCCAGTGGCCCTCCTATACTATGTGTACCCCTACATGGACGCTTCCACGTTGGTCATCCTAATGGATAACCTAAATCACCAGATGAAGGAGGCCATTTTTGAATACTACAATTTTATAGGCGAAGCAGATTTCTCCAAAAGTTTCGAGAAACACTTTTTTCACTCCTACGGGGAAAACGAGCATAATGATAATGGCCTCACTGAAAGTTCTACTTCCAAATATGAATATAATCAAAATGCTTACATCTATAGTAAAATGAAACAGTCTCCATTTTACGTAATCACTTTGAACCCTAAAATAATGATGAACCCACCACAAAATCGATACAAATTTTTTATATCCAACGAGTACACCTCCTCCCATGAGACAGACATTACAAGAATGATAAAGGACATTGAAAAAATATTGAAGCTTAATGGTACCTTTTACACAAAGAACAAAACATTAGTTCAAAATTACTTCGCCGTTATAAATGATTTTGAATTTGATAATGATGAGCATGTGAAGAAACACGTGAACGATATGTTAACATCAATCCTGAATTCCTTTGCCACCACAGGAGATATAAATAAATACAATTATAACTATGCCTTGGAGAACTTGGGAAATATTTTCCAATTGATGCTATTCAATGTTTATAACAGCTCAAAATTTAAGTTGCTATTCACTCCCTTAATAGACTTTTTTAAATTGTATTTGAATAAAAATGACGCAAATTATATCACGTACGAATTTCTCCTCTATGGACTTATTAAGAATTCCAGCCAAGTTGCCTCCTACGAATTGAAGGAACTACTCTTCCTTGATGTTCTGAGAGATGTTTCCAAAACGGTGAATAAGCTTTCTATTGGTCAGGTCATTCAAGTGGTTACCAAGCTGAACATTTTACTTAAGAAACTCAGGTCCAGGGAGGACATCACGCATGTTAAGGAGTACGTCAAGCGGGACTTCAATCTGGACTACATTAACAACGAGTTGTAGTAATGGATGGAGGTATACTGGGGGGGGGGGGGG